TTTGGTGTTTCTACCACTATGGCTTTTGAAGCTTCACACATATCCACTCTTTCTACCCCAGTAGGTGCACTTAAAAATGTTCAAGTGGTTCTCAATCTTCCTAAGCCACAACCCTCTAATACAGTTCCTCATATTGTGGTGACCCCCAGGACAGTTCCTCATGTTGTGGTGACCCCCAGTACAGCTTCCTCATGTTGTGGTGACCCCCAGTACAGTTCCTCATGTTGTGGTGACCCCCAGTACAGTTCCTCATGTTGTAGTGACCCCCAGTACAGTTCCTCATGTTGTAGTGACCTCCAGTACAGTTCCTCATGTTGTAGTGACCCCCCAGTACAGTTCCCCATGTTGTGGTGACCCCCAATACAGTTCCCCATGTTGTGGTGACCCCCAGTACAGTTCCTCATGTTGTAGTGACCCCCAATACAGTTCCTCATGTTGTAGTGACCTTCAGTACAGTTCCTCATGTTGTAGTGACCCCCAGTCAGTTATTTCCATCACTATTTCATAACTTTAATGAATCTATGCTTTGCAATGGTCTTTGGCGACCTCTGTGAAAACGTCGCTCAACCCAGAAAAGGGTTGAGAACCTCTGATTTAGCTGGAGTTGCTGTGTTCCTCCTGGTTTTTTGTGTGCCTTTTACACCCTGCCATCTTTCTATTCTTAGCGTTCTTTGGTTTCCTGGGTATTTTCTGATTTAAGACTTCTTACCAATAACCTTCTACAGACATCCAATTCAGTTATAACTAGTGCTTTCAAGTTGAGGCAAATTTGAGATTTTCATATTTTCTTCTTTCTCTTTTAAGAACTTTGGCAATATTTATAATCAACACATCAGAAGACAAACCTAAATTCTGCTCTAGAAGATGGTGTAATACTTCCACTTATAAATCAGCCTTCTGCACAGGAGTCATTCTTCACAGAACTGATCACCTTGCACTAGATGAGTTAGCAGGCAGCTATTAGACCAGTGAGACTTGGAAATATGAAGTTTATCCCACAGGAGCATAAATCACTGCCTCGCTGGAATTACAAATGAGCTGACTGGAATAATTTGTCTTGCTCACAGACAAGTACTGTAAAAACATACAAGTAGAACACACAATATGGCAATTTGAAGACAGTGGAATGTTTAAACACTGCAGGCAGCATTTGAGTGCATTCCAAGAGGTGTGAGGAAAAATTACAAACTGTACTGGACCAAAGAACTACAGATTTTGGAGGGAAAAGTCATTTCGCTAAAAGCCACCTCAGCAAAATACACAAAACATTAAATCAAACAACTAGAAATTCCTAAAAAAAAACAGAAAACATGTGAATTTAGACAAAGATGGAAACTAGTAAATGCCACGAACAATGAAGAGTCCAGGAAGAAATAAATAACAAGGTACCAACATATTAACAGGAAAAAAGGCTGCAAATGCACTGATGAAATACTATGCTAGTGAAAACCACACTGATGTCACAGCAGAAGAAAAGAAAAAGCAATGAAATAGGAACAGACAAGCCACTTTGACAGAGAAATCAGAACAGCATGCTACAGTAACTGGAAAATTTACATATGGAAGAGCTGGAACGGGCGATGAGTTCCCTGAAAAAGAAGAAATCACCAAGGAAGGATGGTATCACAAGTGAAATGATAATAGGACAGGGTAAGAAAGCAATTACTAGCAGTCCTAAATTGCAGCTGGAAGAGAGCAATAATCCCTCATTCATGGAAGGAAGCTATACTAATACCTGTCCAGTAAAAAAAAAAATACCAGGTGGAACTAAAAGCCTATCGACCAATCAGCTTACTTAGCAGTGTAGGGAAACTGATGGAACACATTAATAACACCGAACTCCACAACAGGCAGGATTTAGAAAGTACAGATCCACTGAATGCTAAATAACATATATAGCCCAGGAAATGGAGGATGCCTTTCAAGATTTAAAGAAAACATATACTAGCAGTCTGGGTAGAGGTAGAAAAAGCATTCAATAAAATAAGGAAGAAGGGACTAAAGTAAAAGGTTTTTAAAAAATGCACGTTTGTGGGAAAATGTACAACTGGATCAGTCACTATCCTAAGAACAAAACTGCCAAGGCAAAAGTACAAGGAAAAACTAACCTAGAAAAAAAAAACATTGGTGTTGGAGCCCGGTGTACCACAAGAGTATTGTCACAAACATTGTACTTAGTTTCAAATAATTTTAGGGAGTTCACACTTTGTTCTTTGCTACATAGACTAGCCTCCAACAAATATTACTACAGCTAACAGGAGGCAGCAAGCCTTATCTGTGTTAGAGGAATGGTCAAAAACATGGCTAGTGAATATCAGTGAAATACAGTGTTCTCCCTATAAAATAAAAAAACCCATTTAAGAAAAAAACTCTCGGTGAAAAAAGTTTTTAAAAACTTCAGACGTCACATTTGATTGTTGCCTGACACGAAAGACACAGGTAGAAGCAAGTCGAACATGAGCAAGGCAAAGAACGGCAGTCATGAAAAAGCTTGCTGGTAAAACACGGGGAGCTGATGAGAAAGTTCTCAAAAAGCTAAACATGGAGACCAAGGCAAGTCCTTAAATATGGATTGCAGCACGGACAACAGCAGCTAAGTCAAACTTTATCAAAATAAATAGTCAAAAATCAAGGAATGCAGATTATAATTTTGGCCATGAAATCGCCTATTAAGGAACTAGAAAAAGATCATAGACCTGCAACCAATGGTGGACAGAAGAGCCCATCAACAAGCAGAAAAATTAAGAAGGCTGACAGATCACCGTATGTATCAAAGGTTTAATGGTCTAGGAAGTGGAAGAGTAAAGCGAAAAAACTAGAGACTGCAAAAATTAAGATTCTATACTGAACATCCAAACCCATCCACATTACACAGGCTCCCTGCTTGGAGACAGCAGCGCCTGCCTAAGTTAATATAAAATATTCCTGGTATTGAGAAAAAGAACACTTAGAACGAAAAAGACAAATCACATTGAACTACATAGAAGAACAGTACCCAAGTAACACCTCCAAAAAACTCTACAGAACATGGAGGTAAGGGAATTGTCTTGAATCTATAAAGTGATCAAAGAAAACAGTTTGATTGCTACCCGAAGATTCTTAGGTAATTTTAGAGCAGAGGCCTTGAGAACTACAGCAGAAATGATTCTGTCAGAAAAAAATGGACACCTAGCTATCTTCACAGATGCGAAGTCAGTTGACACAGTAAGTAAAAAAAAGTAAATGACCCTTTTCCACACCTTTAGGCGTATAGGGCTAGACCTATATTTTATAGACCAATCGGCACTCCACCAGGGATCGAACTCATGACCTTCTGATCAGCGGCGAGAGCGTCTAGCCGCTCGGCCACTCCCAGTACTCAAAAGAAAAAAACAATACTGACTAACAGACCTTAGAGCAGCACTCCATGGAATGAGTCAGAAATCAAAGAGTTATAATACAAAGGATTCCATCCCATTGTAACAGGTGGAAATGAAGAGGCTGACAGATTGACTTCGAAGGAAATCCCCAATTAGTCTTCTCCTACAACAAGCTTGTTAGGGAGGCAGTGGGTATTCTTGATATTCCCACAATGGGGCCCCCAGAACCCACACGGGGAAGAACAATCAGTGATCTTTAGATCAGGATATAACAGGCTGAAACACTACTTGTTCAACAAGCAAAAGATAGGAGATACTGATAACTGTAACTGTGGAAATGGTAAAATGACAGCTAAACCTTTTTTGCGAGAGTCTTCAACATATGCAGAACTGAGAAAGTTATTCTGGCTGACACCCACTTCCTATGAAGATAAAACTGTGAAGATGTCAACAACATCAAATCTGACTGCTGATTTCTTTAAAATAATCACAGACTTCTAAAGGTATAAGAAGAAGAAATCTGTCAAGAGATTCTGGGAGCTGATGGTCCCTAGAGATGCAGAGTTCATAAAAAACAATGACAAGATGAAACAGACTTATCTGTCAATATACTGCCATGCTGGATGCCACTAGGCATCTATGCTAGAAATAGCATATGAAACTAGAGTGGACGTGGAAGTCCATTGCCGTAAAAGACTAACATGCAAAAGAAGCAAAGTATTCATTTTGTGAAGGTAATCAAAATCCCTGGTCTGCTGGCTGCCTATTTATTGTTGGCTTCTTAAGACAAAGCCAATGATGAATGAGTGGTTCAATACATGGAAGCGAGCTTAAACAGACATCAGCTAAATGTGACGACTCCTTGGGTGAGCCCAGTACCAGAGCACCATGTACTGGCTCTGTATTTATGAATGATGGGAAATACTCATGTTCTGCCTCAGTCTTCTCTTAAGGACTGACCAGCATTAGATGGCGTCTCTGACTGGCCTGAAGTGGGGCACCACCTGTGACCTAGGAAGCAAAGATGACCACACAACAATGAGACTGCTGTGTCCCACAAAACTTAACAGAAGGCTAAAACAATCAACAAATGCCTGCAGAAGTCAGATATGTCGCACCAAAAAGAGCAAATATCACAGCCATGCTGTAAATGGGCATACTGCAATTACATCTTGGGATAAATGCAGAGAAGAATATAAATTACCAAAACAGGACCGATCCAGCAAAACTGGCATAAAGAACTCCCTAGTGAACAAAGTGAAAAACCACAGAAAAGGGCAAAGCAAAGACAAAGGGTCGGCCAGATACTACTATCTAGCAAATGTAAATGCTTACAAAACGTTTGGGTTAATGCTTGAACAGATGCACACCATTCATTGTACACTTATAAAATGTCAACAAAATCAGGTAATGTGATAAAATTTACAAAGTTTATTAATTAGTCTGCAAGAGGTAACACCTCACTTACATACTCACATACATGCAACTTACAGTAGTCAAGTGGCCTTGTAGGGGAAGGAAAATGAACATGTTTCAAATATAGAAAAGACTAATTTTACAGATTTAATGCATGCTGGAAAATGTGCTTTGGTCGATCACTAGTTTCGCTTATATTCCTCACTCAAGCTACACTGCTAAATACTATTCTACAACCACTTCAGCACCAACTGCGACTAGTGATTCTTTCAACTTCTCAGCTTCTTCTTTTGTAATATCTGCCTTGACCACCTGAGGTAAAGATTCAACAAATTTCTTTGCCTGAAAATAAAAGAGAAAAAACAAACATCTTTCAATTTGTTTGCCACTTCAAACACTTGAGAACATAGTAATCATCCCAAAAGAATTTTTTATTCGCTATTTAAATGGTGACCTCAAGCCTGAGCCTATGCATTTCAATTTTTAGGGTCGCCAAGGTATCTTTGGCATGAAGGTTTGCGGCTATTAAGTTGAGTCATTCCAATGAAAGAGTCTACAAGTCTCTTTTACTGTATTTACTGTCATGAGTTCTCTCTCTCACCCAAGGACCTTAACATCCAGCACAGCTTTATCTAAAAATATCTTGAGTTATAATAGACCCACCATGCTTAACCAGTGTATCATAAAATCAAACCGATTAAAGGACTGCTGAAGTTAGATGTGCTGGGCCGCAAGGCATATACATCACAGCTGAGCTGTAAACTACAACACAACATGCCAACCACCTTTTTAAAGAACAAGTACCAGATAATTGTCTGCAAATTGTCCAAGAAATAAAGAATAGAACTGCTCAGCCTCACACATTATTGCACTACCTAGTATAAGCAAAGACATTACATTTCAACTACAGATTATGCTTTAGAACCACAGGTATTTTTTTTAAACAGCATTCCTTACAACAACAAAGTTAGCAATTGCAGAAAAGATCAAGCTGTTGAACACTGTAGCAAATTTACACTGCAGGTGAGAAAAATGCCTGCTTCAAAGAGGATTCAAACAAATCTTCTTCAGGTTAACTGACTAAACTTGGGCAGAAAGTTCTGGCTGTTCATCCACTTCTGGACTCAGTTTTGTTCCAGAACTTGAGCTTTACATGCATGAACATTTGTTTTACAAATTATTTGTATGCAGACAGTTTGTTCCCTGCCTCTCTGGCTTTGAAGGAAACAACGCCTTTCACAAATACTTATTGGGGGCAGGGTCTATTCTTGTTTCACACAAAATGGGGCCCGAGACCTACACAGGGTGATTTAAACATGAAGACTAGGCCAACCACTGACACATAGGGTGATTTAAACACATGAAGACTAGGCCAACCACTGACACATAGGGTGATTTAAACACATGAAGATTAGGCCAACCACTGACACATAGGCAGATTTAAATACATGAAGACTAGGCCAATCACTGACACATAGGGTGATTTAAACACATGAAGACTAGGCCAACCACTGACACACAGGCAGATTTAAACACATGAAGATTTGGCCAATCACTGACACATAGGGTGATTTAAACACATGAAGACTAGGCCAACCACTGACACATAGGGTGATTTAAACACATGAAGACTAGGCCAACCACTGACACATATGGTGATTTAAACACATGAAGACTAGGCCAACCACTGACACATAGGGTGATTTAAACACATGAAGACTAGGCCAACCACTGACACATATTTTAAAAAAAAAAATCTTTCCACGATGTTGAAAACCAACCCCCACATTTATTGGATTTGTGTGGTTTTGCTAGGCCATTTTATATAAAAAGAAGTTCCCTATTGCTTTCTGAACCGACACTCATAATATTAGCAAAACCAACACAAATAATAGACATGTGTAGAAACTTCTGAGTTTATTTTTAGAAGGGTGGTAGGCAGGCTATCTTGTGGTGTAGGACTAGGCTGTGATGTCTGTGCCTTCTGGCTTAAATCATGTGATCCAAAATGCTTGTTAAGGATCTGTTCTACTTTCCTCAAAACTGGGGCCTGGAAAGTCAAAACTTGAAAGAAAAAAATTTTTTTTTTTTTAATTAAACGATGAGGACTGGTGACCCAATTACATTCTAGATAATAGATGTTTAGATCTAGCAGTTTCAAAAGAAATCATTACTACATAAACATACCTGAACCAGATTCACTCCTTCCAACAGATTTTTCACTTCTTTTATTAGCTGCACCTTTTTATCAGCTTGAAAGTTCACCAACTTGACAGTGAAATTCACCTTTTCTCTTTGTGGGGCCACCTCCACTTCCTCCTCTACCTCCTTTAAACAAAACAAGGGTAGTTTTGAAAAAAACAAAACATGGATCATTACTACAGATCAACATCTATATAGTGGTACCTTGGTGTACGTACTGTTGAGATGGCACATTTTTTAAATATTGGTATACAACCTTTTTTGAAAAACAGCTTGCTTGCTAGAACCTGCAAGCCTCAATGAGTTCCAAGGAGAGAAAAGAAAGAGAAAACACACAAGAATTTCATTTCTGAAGTCTTGTTGATAGGGACTCTCCTTCAAAATCAATATCATCAGACAATATCATCTTGTTCTCCCTTTTCAGCAACATCCTAGTAGACATTAACTCCTCTCATCAAGTTTAATTTTGCATTTATTTCATCTAACCACATTTGTATTTATGTATTTAACTATTGAGCATACATTTATACTTCATAATGAAATACCATAGTATTAACAACTGTATTGAGTCAGAAAATTTAGATCTTTTACGCCGAGTTAATAAGGTAGTCTTTTAGTAATTCAACTGTTAATTACTGACATGAGATGCCTGGGGAGAGCCATCAACTTAACATTCCAAGACAGTAAGAAATTATAGAATCACACAAACAGGGAACAATACCATGCGCCTAATTCCTTGAGAAACAGAAGATCAAATGGTTTGGTCACCTTGTTAGAATGCAGCCAGAACAACTAAAAAAAATACAGGCGCTACACATGAAAAGATCTAATGTGAAAGCAAGAGGTCAACCTAGAGGAAGATGGACTGATGACATTAAAGACCTTCTACATCAACACAGAATGAAAACAGTCACTGCTACCTATTAAACAGCAGATCGCAAACTGTACCTCCCCATGACGCTTAACGCCAAAAGTGGAAATTGATAATGAACTGTTAATTACACACCTGTGACTTCTAAATAACACAACATTAAACTCTGGCACAAATTAATCTGCTGAATTAACTTCTTAAACTACTTTTTGCATGAATAATAAAAAAAAAAAACATAAAAATTATCATTTAGTGAGTCTTCCAGCCACCATTACTGATCATTAGAACTTAGTAGCATTATTCTATTACCAACATTATTTTCCATTATTACACAGACATACCTTTGGAGCTGCTGCTGCAGCAGCCATTGCCATTATGGGAGCATCACGGATATTCAATGTTTTCTGCAGATAGAATAAATGTATAAAACTCAGTGGCAGAAACCAGAAATGATGAAGATATCTCCTCTGTGGGTTCTGGGACCCATTACAGGGAAACAATCAAGAACAGACTCACTAATCACCTAACAAGCATGCCATAGAAGTCGACTTCCTCATCTTCACCGGATGTAAACACCGGTGGAAAGTTCTGGTTGTTCATCCATTTCTGAAGTACAGGCTTGTCCCAGAACTTGAGGTCTGCGTGCAAATCCATTTAACAATCTGCATTATTTGCACGCAGACTTGGTTCCTTACCTATCAGGCAGATGTACTCCGAGTTTGAAGGAAACACATAATTAGTCAACTTTTAGGACATGCTTGTAAAGAAGGCAGCGAATCTTGTTTGTTTCTCCGCAAGGGAGGTGATGGGTCCACTAATTAAGGGTGTTTTCTTCCAAGTCGGGAGGCGAGGAAACAACAGTCTGCTTACAAATGAGCCAGATCTGAAAAACAGATGTGAATCAGTGAATGCGAAAAAGAGAAGAGGATGAAGACAAATTATAAATAATGCTTTGAAAAAAAAAAAAAGTCTTTTCCTTTATCCCTGAATAAAGTACAGGGTCTCAAATCATGCACAGTTGTCCTATTTTTTGTTGTCAAGTGTAATGCACCCCTTGTCCTCCCATCTCTCTGATTTTTTTCATGTTCTTTTTTCCTTAGTTTCTTTGCACCTGTGAATTCCAACACAATTACAGTCTAGTTATTTTATTCCATTTTGAAGGGAAAACCTCTAATTAGTAGCCTTTTATGACATACTTGTTAGGAGAGCAAATGAGTCTGGTTAAAGGTTAAAGTGGGTCGACTTCACTGCACCCGGTTTTATCCCATATGGCTCAGTCTCTCTCCACAGAACAGCTAGCTGCCCGCAGAGAGTGCTGCACAGAGCATGAAATCTGTAGTTGATCCCTAGGGATCTCCATTAAAAACTGCACCCGTGAACTGAACAGTGCAGCCCTGAATGAACCCACAACCTTCAGAGCGTGAGGCAAATGGTTTGACAAACGTGCCATAGAGACCCCCTGAATTAGATGCTTAAGGGGGGGGGGGGATATTCAAGGACTGAATGAGAAAGCTGCAGTGGGTTTACCTTCATAACTTCACCAAATTAAAGCACAATATATTGAATAAGTTACATTTCATATTTGACCACACTGCCGCTATGTTAAGTTACAAAGCACAGTGAACGCTAACACATAACTTCATCATCCAATAACCAACCTTGAGCAGCTCATTCAGATCAGCCACTTCTAGCAATGTTAAATGGCTAATGTCTTCCACAAGTTTCTGAATTTTAGGAGGATACAGCTTTTTGGAAATGTCTGATTCTGGAGGTGGGAGGATATCAGCAGCTGCTGTGCTGTATTTGCAAGACTGGTGCTGAACTTGGATGACTTGAGGGCTCATTGCAGGAAGTACATTTCTGCATATAAGTCTAGTAAACAAAGGCAATGAAAATTAAGTCAATAAGTAATATTCGAAGGAGGAAAAACAATATGCATTTTAGAATCTTTCTCATATGGATTCCAGGACCCCACAGTGGGGAAAACAAGAATATATCCACTGCCTCCCCAACAAGCATATCATAAGAGTAGACTAACTGGAGGCTTCCTTTGAAGTCAGAGTGCATCTGCCCGAGAGGCAAGAAAAAACAATCTGCATACAATTAACTCTTTGAGTCTTAAGGAACGTATCATACATTCCTAACTAGAAGCCTAATGAACGCAAGATGCGCTGATTTTACTTCTCTTTTAACTACCCCTTGGGCCTCTGATGCTAAACCTCCTGGGACTCAAAGAGTTAGGTCAGATCTGTAAAATGGATGTGCATGCCAGACTCATTTTCTGAAACAAGATTAAAGTCCAGAGGCAGACATACGACAAGGACTTTCTGCCAGATTTCACAGCCAGTGAGCACAAAGAAAAATAAGATTTTAGAATCCACTATTCTAGTTCGAAAGGATTTTGGTAGAGAAGGATGTAATATACTGATACAATTACAATACACTTCATGTAAAGACTGGCAACAAGTTTTTGTCTCATTTGTTGAGCGGAGCAGCGGATTTTGTGTATGGAAGGGGAAAGTTTGACATCCATTTCCACTGACTCAGTGACCCTCTATCTAGATGCCAACCCAACAGGAAAAAATCCCAGATAACCTGTTCACAACTGTGTAAAATAGTTAAAATTTGGCAGCCTAATGCTACATAAAGTAACTTGCTGTACTGGATGCGTAGGGAATATCACAATATCATCTCTTAATAATATATATATATAAAACAACAGGCTCTCCTAGCAGATTTGGCCGGCAAGCTAGACGGCGTCGGCCGGCTTAGTGGGAGTTATGGAAGTTATGTCCCTTCGCCAAACTCAAAACAAGTCGCGGAAAAAGTCACGAATCAAATGACATACTTACCTACCATCATCCGGGTGCGTGTAGGGTTGCGTACGGTTGCGTCTAGGGTTACCTATCATCGTCCTACGGTTGCGTGTAGGGTTGCTTAGGGTTTGGGTTAGGGTTAGATGTGAAAATTTTCACGTAAGAGGTCGAAATACTGGCTGACAATGTGATGTTTGTGAGAGTGGCGCCACTGGACGTGTGGCAAATATGACGGCAATAGCGCGCGGCTGGTGCCCAATTGTCCGTGTCAGTAGCATTCACCGTCTGTCGACTGCGCGTGCATGCGACTGTGCGTGATTATAGGGAACTACGGCGTCACAATTGTCACATCTAACGCTACACCTAACCCTACCCCTAACCCTAACCGTAACCCTAACGCTACCCCTAACCGTAACCCTAACCCCTAATCCTACCGCTAACCCTAACCCAACCACGCAAATTTATCGGTCATTAAAGCTTACAGATCGGCAAAACACCCACAGACAGACACACAGAAAGAAGAAAAAAACCAGATTTTCCCGCAGCGTTAAAAAAACAACCCAGATCTGGGGGACACAACCAAGCATTGGCAGCCCTGATGTCGACCTCACTGTCGTGTTTGAGTCGTGACTTTTTCCGCTCGTTGTTGTGAGTGCGGCCAAGGGAAAGAACTCCCACTACGCCGACCGAAGTCGACCTACTTGCCGGCCAAATCTGCTAGGAGAGCCAAACAACAAAATATTGAAAATAGTACATTTTATAGAACAAAAAAACTTAGAAAGCGTATTCTAGTGCGTGTACCTCAGGTTAGTAAGGGTGAAATCATAATAAATTCTAGTTTTTACAAACAAACAAAAAATAGCACAAGCGAAGGAAAGACACAAAAAATAATTTTTACAATACAAAACTCCGACAGAAGGAAAACAGTTAAATGTTCACCCTCTAAGAAAAAGAAATTCCAGAAATTCGGTGTAATAGTCATTAGAGTAACCCTCTGTATTCACTAGTTACGCTGAAAGAACTGAATGGTACGCTAAAACGCATTCATTTTTAAGACAATAAAAATATAACATTGTCAAAAGGTGGAAGAATAGGCAACAAGGCATGTTTTGAAAATAGTATTTTTAGTATAGTCTGTTTGTGTATACTAGTGTATACCATGCCGCATGCGGCGACATTGAAGTCAAGTGTTCTCAACTCAGTAAATATTCACTTCAAAAGACAGGCTAGAAAACTGGGTTATGTATGGTTCAAATCCATGTACCTCCTGCAATAGTTTAAGCATTTCGTATCAAACAAGACTTTTGTAGTCGCTTGCATAATGACTGCCTAAATTATCCCACTTGTACAATAATATCGCTAACTAGAAACGTTTGACCTAGACGAACTTTCGCAGGTAAGGAAAACAGAAAATGTCGATCACTAACAAGCAAGTAAATTGTGAAAATAGCGGTGAAAATAGATTCTCAAATGGTTCTCAAATGAGGGGGTAAACAGTAACAGACCCACTGTCTTCTCAACAAGCATGTCATAGGAATCGACTAATTGGGGACATCATTCGAAATCGGAGCACATCTGCATGAGAAGCAAGGAACCACAAGTGTGCATACAAATAATCCATATTTATGAAACGGATGTGCGCGCAACACCCAGGTTATGGAGCATGACTCAAGTCTGGAGGTGGACGACACCCAGAACTTTCTGCCAGAGTTTACAGCCGGTGGACACGAAGAAGAAGACGATTAACTTGTGCCTACGCAGAATATAAGGAATGCGATTGTATGTTATTGATGTGGAGCTTTGGGAAATAACTAAACACATTCCAGTGATTCAAGAGGAAAAGACGCTGCATTTGGACAGGACACACGTTGAAAAAAAAAACACTTGAGAACGATAGGTCATTATAACTAGGAGGCTTTACACTGAAACCTAAGAAGGCATAAAAATAGATGCAGACCCAAAAAAAAAACAAAAACAAAAAACACACACAGAGAGAACGGAACTGGAGAGTAAGATTAAAAACATACGGAGATTAAGGGGTGAGCTGCAAACGACAGGACCATTTGGCGTGAGTTAGTTGAGGGCCTATGCTCATTATGACATAAAGAGCAGAAGATGGATTAGCAACAATTAGAAAGTAGCTTAACATGAAATAAACTGTGACTTGATTGACTGCTGTCAACTTAAGCTATTTGAAAATCTCGAACTGTCTCAGTCTTGCTGAATGAGGATATCTGTTTTCTTGAAAATATGCTCCTTTGTCACATCTCTACCACAATAAAGATATCACACTGTTACCTGAGTATATGTTTGTTCATTTATTTATGGTGTAATTATTTATTTAAGACGTTGGTGTAATTTGTATTTTTGTTGCAAATGCTGTATGCAATTTTGAAAACACCTGTTTGATTAATTGAACTATTCCACCGACTTTTGTGTCAATAAACACTGCTTGTTGCTTCAGCCACTGGAAGTGTGCGTGGTTATTGTTTGTCGCAGTTGTTTTCACCAGAATTCACTATCATAATGCCTAAAGTAAAAGTGAAAAGTGGTCCGGCCGCGGACAGACTGAAGAAGAAGGAAAGACCTATTCATCCATTTAGTAGAAAAGCTTTACAATTAGGCAAGCAAATGATACACGGGAAGAGATTAGAGGCAGCCAGAAATACACAGGCAGTGCGATCTGAGCTACTTGCAGAGAAGCTGCGCTGGTTTCAAGTACGTAGAAGTAGAAGATTTGTATTGCAGTCTTCATCATGTGATGTTCACTTAGATAAAAACTAATATTGTCATAAAATAGAGTTTTTATTGATTAATTTGTGTGTGTTTCTGTTTCAATAATCAAGGGCGCGTTCGTTGTCTATGATGCACAAGAGACAAAAAAAAAAACTTCGGTTCTGACGGTTCTCCTTTTAACGACTGCCGCTTAGTCGGAGTTCACTACCCTGGCTGCACTGCAATTAAGGAGTGGAGTCACGAATCAAAAAACAAAGTGACGTCGACATGGCTGCTAGAGCTAGACCATGCGCTGCGACTGACATAGCGACCGCGTTCTTGCGACGCAAGACTTAGTGACCGTAGATGTGAGAGCTGCGGATCTGTATGTCGTCGTAATGAGCGATAAGCTTGCGTGGTTTCCGTGATGTGTTACCCTAACCCTACCCTGAACCTAACTCTAACCCAAACCCTAAGCCTAACCCTAGGATGACACGTAACTATCTCATTTGTTTCGTTCCCTCTTTTTCACACCGTAATTGCACTGCAGCCAGGGGAGTGAACTCCGACTAAGCGGCCGTCGCCTTCCAGCTAGCGACCGTTATTTAAAGGAGAGCCGAAACTTCCAATCTACCCATGTTATTATTATAATTAATAATAATGTTTTATTATTTAATTTATAATTAAATTATTTAATTACTATTAATTACTCGTTTTGCCTGCGAACCGAACAGGTGCTTGTACAATTTTCTTATTTAATATTATATAAATTATAAATTCAGAGATGGGGAAATAAAAGACATGATGATGATCGCTGATGTCTTCAAGGACCTGAAGGAGACTTCTTCTCTTCAGTTCTTCTTCTGCGTTTATCCGAAGATAAAGATGTAATTCAAAATAGCATAGCCTCCTTGTGCCCATTCACACTACAGCATGGCTACGATATTTGTGCCTTTCGGCGGACACATCCAACTTCTCAGTTCTGCAGGCATTTGTTGACCGGGTTAGCCTTCCCGATGAAGGAGACTATTAGTGTATTTCATTTATTATTATAACACTTTATTTTGAAAAGGAGACAGGCTGATAAGCATCTTGAGAAAAGCTGAAAGTCTGTCAAGTGACTAGGATACAAACACAGATGCTTAGATTTTTTCTTAGAACCTGCACGATCTTTAAGTATTGTAGACAAGATAGAATTGACAATTCCACACTGTTGTCCAGCAATTGTCTTTTTCTTTATTGCACTCTACTTACTCTAGGAGTTTTAGTTTGTTGTTTGCCAGTTTGCAGATCTTTGCGCTTGTCTGCTTCCTCTTGGCCATGACCCCCCCCCCCCCCCCCCCCCCCCCCCCCTTTCTTACCGATATTACTTACACTGGCTGCATTTTAAAGAATACACATAGAACCATTTATCTGGAGGATCTAAACAAAACAAGGCACAGTCTCATATTTCAGGAATTTCCTTGGCAACAAATCAGTTTAATACAAAGCCAGGTTATTTTTTATTATTATCTACAAACATGTTTGTTTTATTATTTTTCCCCCACATGAACAGAGAATGATCAATAATTATGAAAACAGCAAAAAATTAACAAGGTTTAACATTTTTGAGCCTATTTAAAATTCCTGTGGTGACTCATTCTTGACACCCTTTAACCAGGACAAATGGAAAATTACCATATCCTAATTTCTATAAATAAAAGCTTATTGTTGGCAAGAAAACTCCCTATATCCTATTTTTAATAAATGGCCTAGCAATTCTTTAACTTCATTTCTTGCCTACCTAGCACGGCAGAGAACAAAAAATATGAAAAGCTTTAGAAGTTTGGGTTAAATTAAATCTGGTTGATAGTGGTAACATAAATTCACACTTACCAGTAAAACTTGATTAAAAAAAAAAAAAAAAAACTCCTGGGACTGAAATTATGTTGCTTGTGTTAACCTATTGTTCTTAAACAAGTTAGTGTGTGAGTTAATTGTGTATCATCTCCCCGTATGGGTTCCGCGACCCCATTGTTGAGAAAACAGGAATAAGCCACTGCCTCACCAACAAACATGTCATGTCATAAGAGTCGACTAACTGGGGGCTTCCCGCAAAGTCGGAGTGCATCTGCCCGAACGGTAAGGAACAACCAGCTGCACAAAAATAATCCAGTAGAACAGATGTACACGTAAAACTCAGGCCCTGGCACAAAGTCCAAATGGACGAACAGCCAGGACTTTCCTCCGGAGTTTACAGCTGGTGAACAAAGAAGAAAATGTTAGAAAAGTTTACAGGATGTTGCGGACCATGTATCTTTTGGCTGTTTTGATTTTTCTAGGCAAATATTATGTTCAGTAGTTTAGTTTTATCTACCTTAGTTACTTAATGTTAAAAAGACAAATTTTTAATTTTGTCAAATACAATGCAGTTACTGTTTTATAAACCATGTCTTTTTGTTTTCTTCATTAGAACCACCTTGACGATCGTCATCTTTATACAAAACAAGATGTCGTTGACCTTGTTATGGAGTATCGAAATCGCTTTAATGAAGAGCTTGAGCAGATTGACATTATTCAGAGTGTAGGGAACAGGAAAGGACTAAACCAACATGCTTCTCGTGAGTCTTCCATAAATATCACAGTCGAAGAGGAAACAAATCAGTTCAACAGCTCGGGGATAGAAGTTCCAGATCTTATTAATAAGAAACATTTGGAAGACTTCAAGAAATGGAATGGCGAAATCAAATTCATACAGAACCTGAAATTAAAGAAAATATCTTTTAGAGATTTAGAAAGACTAGATGAGAAGAACATAACAAATGAGCAGAGTGGTGTAAGTGAGGCTACTAAATGTGATGCAGACAGTGAACTAGAATAGTGAAGCATATTGTAATGCAGCATTTGTTTAGGAATATTAAGTACTTTTGAATTGGGGATAGATCTACATTGATTTATAAGTGCTTTAGTAAATATACACTGATTTATGAGTGCTGTAGTAAATATGCTGGCACCTAATACTTGAAGAGCTCTGCTGGAAGGAAAGGTTGATGGCAGTCCAGCAGAAAGCAGACAGAGATACAAAAGCGAAGATAACGTTGAGAAATGGATGAGCAGTAGTGTCAGAGAGTGAAGATGTACAACCAGATCAAGAGGCAGAGACAGTTGGAGAATTCAATGCAGCCAACCTTGATTATGGAGAGAGCACCTAAAATTGATTTCAGTACATTGGGTGGTTTTTATTACTTTGTGTGACAAGAACCCCATGAACATATATTTTTAGTGTATATATGTATTAGGAATTGAAAGAAAATGAGCATGCAATTTGGAGAATCTAATGGTAAGCTTTTTGACACTGGCAAAGTTTGTGTGAGCAATAACACACACATGCACATGCAAATGATACTAATGTGGCCAATATTCCACATGTTAAATAAACTTGGAAATGTTGTCCGCAAATAAATAATCTGAGCATGTCTTTTTTCCATTGTTAGCACTAGTTCTGGGTAAATTATTCATCAGCACTGTCTTTTCCACTTTTGTTATCAAGCAGTGTAGGAAGGGATGCTGTAGTTCAGCGGTTGTTAACCTGTGGGTTGCGACCCTTTGGGGGTCAAAAGACCCTTTCACAGGGGTAGCTTAAGACCATCGGAAAACACATATTCATTGAAGTGAAGTAGCAACGAAAATACTTTTATGGTTGGGTGCTCAACACAACATGAGGAATTGAAAGGTCGCAGCTTTAGGAAGGTTGAGAATCACTGCTGTAGTTGATCCTCGATAGGTAGCACTGGCTGTTGTCATTCCGTGTTAGTGTACTATCTTTAACATTAATCCTCCAAACTGTGACTGAGAAGCTTAACGCTTAAAAGGTGGTGGGAACACACAAGAAAATGGATGTTTCAATTGGTGCCTCTCTTGACACAAACCGCAACACAGGGCACAGTATCCTGTTTTTAAGGTTGTCAGTATATATTTTTTTGTGCGCTCTTGCTGTTGTATGCTTTCTCTTAGATGTAGCACGTATGATGGTAATTTGTGCAACTGTATTCTAACAAGATGCACAAACCAATATTTGCCCTTTTAACTCTTTAGCCTCCCATGTGTTTTGCTTCTTTAATTGCGTATTCTTAACCCTTTTGTGGGGGGGGGGGGGGGGTGCTAAAAAAGCCATAAAACCCATGGGAATTCCCCTTTAAAAAAACTGGTGAATTATTTAAAAATTTATTTGTGTACACTGTTTGTCTACTGCCTGCCTGAAGTTTAAGATAGTCGTGTGACTTAAAAAATTTTCATGACTGATTTTGTTTACACAAGCATGCATGTTCAGTTACATTACTTGGAGTCAAGCAATTGATGTCTTATAGAAGAGTTGGGGTTCTTTCCACTCAACACATTTGCAGATCTCCACTCAGTTGTGTGTGGAGCTATTTGTAATAAATATGTTCTACCGCTCTTTTTTTCAAGCTTTCTCTCCGTTAGACCAAGGTAAATTAACTGGTACTTTAAATGTAAATGGATAAATGCAGTTGGATTTGGTGTATGGAGACACTCATTCCTTAAGAGGTCTTGTATCTATGCTGTCTTCGAGGTTAAGACAGAAGATACTATAACCAACTCCTCATGGAAACAATAAGTAGAGGTACCTCGGAATGGCTGCTGTAATCGGAGGACTGCGCACGCAAGGAGATGTCCCAGTGTTTAAAGACATTGATTCTGATAACATAACCTAAAGGTGTGACCACGCTGTAGTTGTAAAAGTCTCTTTCTGAATGGCAAATCCCAGAGACTCCGTTCAACCTGCATATGAGTTATAATTAGGACCCCCGATATTGCTACACAAGCATGTATTCCTGTACGGGTAATAATAATACCAGTGACGTCTATTCATACATTCCTGAACTAAATGAATAGACACTCCCCTCATCTTGTTAACTTCCCCAAACCTGACACCCTCATTTGTAGTACAATTTGTCACAATTAGCTTCATCGGGCTTACTATATGCACATACCAAGGCTCGCACCCGATGCCTCTTCAAAACCTGACACTGAAAGGCAAAACCGTCTTAACAAATGAGCCGTCTTGGCACTTTCCCGACGCCTCGCAAACATAGGGGCCCCATACTATTTGGCCATTTATATGTCATCCCTGTGAGCAGTTTTGGGGCAGGGGCCGACCAACACGAAGATGGGCACAAGATATAAGTGAGTCTTTTAATATGAAAGTACACGGGTTGAGAGACCGAGTTCTTTCAGGTATACCATGATGAGAGCGACGTTCTGCTACATGATGATGATGATCTTTTAAACACATCTACAACCGACGCCAAACCTTCCTGTTTATCGGCATTTGCTGTAGATTACAAAGAGTGTTTGCACTTCATCAGTCGTTGCCTATCATTAGCACAGTACAGTAAAACTTCGATTATTCGTCGCCGTCCGCACTGTAACGAAAACCGAATAGACAGATAACAGAAATCTAATACATGTGTACAGTAACATATTTCACTGCGGGTGTGGGGCGAAAATAAAATCCTTTAAAAGTGAATAACACACACATTTTTTTTTTATTTTACAAAACGGTTAATATACACTTCAGTTTAAGAGTAGTCTTCTTCTTCTTCGTACACCGGCTGTGAATTCCGGTGGAAAGTCACAGTTAATCGTCCGCTTGGACTTTTGGCTTTTACCTGGACCTGAGTTTTGCGTGTACAACCGTTTTGTGTTCCCTGCCTCGCCGGCAGATGTACTTCGAATGAAGACGTCAAGCCTATTTCTAGGATGACTGTGGCCATTGTTTTATGTGGGTCAAACGTTGCCTGATTTGTGTGGTGTCCTCTTTGTCGCCTTCTCCGCAGGTTTTGCCCCCGGAGCACCCCTTTGGGGCAGCCCCTTGTGGAACGGTTGGCCCTCAAGTGAAGGCAGGGGCAGATCATAGGCATTCCCCGCCATCCAAGGAGGCTTCCATGTATGCAGAGCCGGCACATGGCGCTCTGGTTCTGGGCTCACCCAAGGAATCGTCACGTCCTGCACATGCCTGCTTAACCTCACAACCGTATTAGTTTAGGCCTTCCGCTCGACAAGGGCTGCGCCCTCCGTAAGTCAGCGGGGAGCAGCCCGTGGGTTCTGGACTTTTGTGACCACACGAATAGGTACATTCTTTTTCTTTGCACGTTAGATTTATTTGACGAGCCGTTAGCCCAACAGAATTTAACATCCTGCGTCAGGCATATCGTTATCAGTTTGGTCCCAACACTCGGGCGAGTGGGGTCTTTGGGTGTGGAAATTTGGACTTTTTCGTTCAATACATTTTGTGATGGTCGGTTTTTGATTTTACTCGTGTGCCTGAGGATCTAGTTTTGTCACACGTTTAGGCTTAGCCATCCAATGGGCTGTTGCTGTTGTGTACCTCAGCGCGGTGACGACGACACTGAGGGTTAACAGAGGATGTACATGGGTAGAATCTTGCTGCGAGACGCCACCCACAGGAGATGTTACTCGTCTGTGCTAAGGGTAAATCTCTGGGTCAAGGGTTGAGTCTCAGCAGAACAATGTTCTCTTCGCTCCGCAATCTTTTAACCAAGGGTTTTGATTTTAGCTGTACGTTTGGCAAGCACTTTACTCATGTTCCTAATGAGTTTTGATAACCCTTTTCACCCATGCGTTTGGGGGCGGGCTGATGAGAGCCACAAGGACACATCACCTCTGGGGGCCGCTAACTCCGAGATCCCCTGACAGCTCTGTTAATGCTCATTTGAGACATTATCCGTGGCGCACGACGAGGACGTGCTGCAGGGGTCTTGCGTGGGGTTCCGTAAAACCAGAACAGTGAAGGACTGGCGCCTTCTAAGAGTAGTAATGTACAGAAGTGTTGTAATAAGTTTTTTTTTTAAATGTGTAAAGGACCCTTTTCCAAGCCTTTAGGCAATAGGGCTAGACCTGTATTTGTATAGACAAATCCGCACAAGATGGGTAATGTGGTTAGCAATCACGCCGGCCGTCTTTACTTCTCGGGACTGCACCCGGTACCCACTCAAGGCTGGGAGTCTAGGTCATTTTTGAAAATAGACCAGCTCCGCTCACGAACCCACGACCTTCCGATCCGCGGCGAGCGTCTAGTCGCTCGGCCACGGCGACGTCCTGAAGGGTAGTAATACTACTCATAAAAACCTGCATCACTTAAAAATAATCTGCAATCTCCTTCTGTGTCTTTGAGGTTCGAGCTTTCTGATATTAACCATATTAGACACGTCGTCATCATCATCATGTGCCTTGCCAACTGGCGTAGGCACTCATGCACTGCACAGATCACGTCCCTGGTTGACTGGAACAGCTCTCTTGATGATATCCCTCCATGCCATCGTCTTAGCCCATCCAGCATCATCTCTCTCTACCCCTTTTCCCACTGATCTTTCCAGTTGTCACGATGTTCTCCAATGTCTCTCTTCTCCTTTTGTGGCCAAAGAACAGTGTTTATCTCTTTCTTATTGTATTAGACAGGTGCGCTTTCTATTTTCTTTCTTTTCCTTTTCGACAGACAGTCACAGCAACGCGTGGCGGGTGCAGCTAGTTTTACAAAAAGCAAGACCTGTGTTACATTTGCCTTCTCTTACATTTGAAACTCCAGTCGATGCAGTTTGATAACATTGTTTCTGCTTCTGGGTGGATGTACATGTTAGTTAAGAACTGATCCTTTTTCTTCATCAATTTCTGCTTCTTCATTGGTAGTCACACTAGAAATAATTTCACTTTTCTAAAGACGAAAGACGGTTAATGAAAGTTTTACTGTCTGTTTCCCTGCGTCTCCCTGTTTCTTTTACCCCGTGGATATCAGAGACAGACATCTGGTTCGAAGTCTAGTGTAGCTGCTGCTGTTTTCAT